TTTGGGATAGGATTTCAAAAATCAAAACCAAACCAAAATTTTGGAATTCCCGAATAATTTTCGAAATTTTCGAGATTTCGGTATAGTTCGTGACAATTGCAAAAATCAAATCCAAGTTGCAAAAATCCTAATTGTAGAAACCCTAATTTCATAAATCAAATCCGAGAACAAACCCTAATTGCATAAACCAAATCCAAATCCTAGAACCCAATTTTCAAACACCCTAGAAATCTAATCTTAATTCGAAAACAAAATTGCATCAACCAGAGAAAATTAGTGCAAACCAATCCCGTGTTGCTTCTGATTCTGATACTAGTGAGTTTGTGCTTGGGGCCATCTCTTTCCTCTTCCTTCTTGTTTACTGGATTTGATGAACCTAATTTGCTTGTTGTTTAAAGCAAGCAACCTCTGGTGTTTTGGGACCGTTGGGTTTGGAATTCTTGTTTTCGTCCTAGAAATTCTCTTTTTTCAATGGAAATTCATGCATGGGAAAATTGTTACAGATTCTTTATTACATGATAGAGGTTTTGCTCTTCTCTCCATGTGTTCCCTTTGTCGCTCAAATGTGGGAATTCCGGGACATTTGTTTTTTGAATGTTCTTTCTCACGTCAGGTTTGGTCTTCATGTTTAAATTAGTTTGGGGTGATCTCTCATTTTGATGATATTATGACTTTCTTCACTTATCCTATTCGCAAAGGTTATGGCTCTCAGATTCAACTTCTATGGTGGGGTTTAATTGGAGCCTGTTTATATTGTCTATGAACAACGGCGTAATAAGCTTCGTTTTGACGATATTCGACCTTCCATTATTGCTATTGTTCACTCAGTTAATTGCCAGCTCCTTGAATTTGATTCGTTGAGCAAGGTAAACATAAAAAATTAGGTGGAAGAACTTTGTATTCTTCACGCCATTGGTTTGTCTGGTCGTCCTGCCAAGTCACCTCTTGTTATTGAAGTTTTATGGAAACCAACTTTTCTACAATGGGTCAAGGTGAATATCGATGGTGCAGCTCGTGGATCACTGGAATTAGCTGGTACTGATGGTATCTTTCGTGATTATTTTGGTTCATGCGTAATTTGTTTTGCTACTTCTTTAGGGGTGGCTACCTCTTTTGAAGTTGAATTGCATATTGTAATTCATGCAGTAAACTTAGTTTGAGAGAAGGGTTAGCGTTCCCTTTGGACTGAGTGTGATTCATCCTTAGCTGTTCTTTTCATTTCTACTTCTCATAATCGTGTTTCCTAGCGTTTGAGGGTTCGTTGGTTGAATTGTCGAGCGTTGTTTTCTTATATGTGCATAAAAGTTACACATATTTTTCATGAAGGGAATCACGTGGCTGACTGTTTGGCAAATTTTGGAGTGGACCATAGTTTATTGGTGGGACTCTTGTCCTCCTTGTGCTATTGCTACGTATCATCATAATCTTTCTCTTCGCCCCAATTTTCGATTTTGTTAGGATGGGTTTTACCTTCGTTTTTTTTTTTTTTTTTTTTTGTAACTAGGTTTTTGTGTTTCAAGCAGTTTTCTACTTCTTGTTAGGGTTTAGCTTCAAAAGTTTTTTTAGCAGGTATTGGCCTAGTTCCCCCGCTTGTATTACTTTTCTTTTTTTCTTCATATGGTTCGAGATCGATCGACGGAGGGGTGGTGGTGGCTGGGTTTGAGATTGACCGACGGAGAATTAGAAACGATGACTGATAGAGGTGGAGAATAAGGGAGAAGGAGAGCTCAGCAGACGAAGAATTAGGAAGGGCGGAGGAGGAGTCGAGAGAGAGACAGAGAGTGAGGTCATGAGAGGTTAGGGTTACTTGTAAATAAACGGTTGAGATTAATCTAAAAAAAAATTCAACGGCCTATAATAATCAAAACTATATATTTAATTATATATAAAAATTGTCCAGTTTGGTTCGGGATTCTTGAATGAAGGCAGGTTGAATACCAATTCGCGTACCGAAAGTTTCAGTTTCGGTTCAATATGGATTACCGAACTGTTCGGGATTCGTAGGTTCGGGATTTTTTGGTTGAATTCGGGTAATTCGGGATCTTTTTCCAGCCTTACTTTTTTCCATGCACTTGAATGGCCAAGGTTCCCCTTTCTTTTTTTGAGTGTGTGCGATATCACCATCACTATTCATGATGGTTGCATTTTTTGTCACTTGATTGCTAAAGAGGGACAAGGATTGTCTGTCCTCCACTTCCGGTGTCTTCCGCATGTCCTCCTGTTTTGTGTAGTCACGGTTAAGCCACGTCAACATTTTATATTGTTTTTTATAGATATAATAAGACAAAAATAAATAGTAATATAAAATGTTGATGTAGCTTAACCGTGACTACACAAACAGGAGGGCACCGGAAGGGCACCGGAAGTGGAGGGTAGACAATCCTTGTCCGCTAAAGAGATCCTTTGATATCTGGTCCTGATCTCATCTCTTTGTTCTCTTGCATGGTTGATTGAGTCAAGCCACAGATCCACACTGAACAGGTAAGTTATATATATCACAATTAGCAGGGTATATAATAGTTATTGCCAATATTACAACCACAATAATATATAGTAATGCATAATGTTGGAGTCACTAAATATGCTCATAAGTTTGTTGACCAAACACTTTGTCGCATTACACATTGGAGTTATTATTTGTTAATAAAACTAAATGAAGTTCAAAATAGTTCCACGCTTAGAAGCTACAAGGGGAGACTTGAACATGATGACAACCCAATTAATAAAACAAAATTGTCTCAAATAATTATTATCACTGAACGAAACTTGACAAATATAGCAGTAATTAGTAGTAATGCATTGTACTATTGAACCAATAACAGTACTAGATTTTCCTTCTGTGTTTGTAGGAGATGCACAAATTTATGCATTTTACATGCATAAACATTTAAGTTAGACGATCTAGCTAGTTAGGTATGAAATGCAAAATTTTCTTCTTAGTTGAGCTTTTTAAGTTCCACCCTACCAAAAAATAATGGTTGCCCAACAAATCTTTGCTCGACGAGACAAATTTCGTCGTAAAGACCTTTACCTCGAAAACAGTCAACATTTAAGGTTTACTCAAACCTTCAAATAACAGATGAGTGTCGTAGGGCAAGTATTATGCCGTTGGGCAAAATTTTGGCGCCAAGAAACTAAAACATGGCGCACCACAACAGAGAGTTTTCCCGACAAACTTGATATTGGTCGGCTAGGAATCATTTGCCTAACAACAATGTCCGTTGGCTAAGAGTACTGTCAGTCCAACAATGACGTGTGATAAATACCCACTAACACAACCTTTGCTTGACGTTTAGCTATTACTTGCCTGACGGAGCATTTAGTCGGCCAAACCTATATTCATCAATGTATAAGTCTGTGCTTTCCTCTTCCTTTTTCTCCTCCATACCTTCATTTTCCTCTTTCTACTCCGTGCTATCCTATTTATCTTTCTCCATTCTCCCCTTCTTCTTTGCTTCAATACCCCTGTTCCCACTACCAAACCCTACGAAATTGTTTCCAGGATTCAACCGTCAAATATGTTTGCATACTTCGAGATCTCCTAAACAAAAAATCACCCAAAAAACGTTTGGAGGATGGGACAAAACAATGTGACGTTAAAAACAAACATTCACACTTTAATGGTCATTTTAGTTCCGATTTTATTCATTTTTTGCGAATACTATCCTCAACTCTACAAGAATAAGACGAACGAACTTGATCATGCATGAAAATAGTTAAAAAATATAATGGATATAACAAAAATTTACATTGTACTTAATGGAAGTATAGAAAAAACACTAATGGAATTGACACATTCTACTAAACTAGTTTTCATGATCCAACCATCAAATATGTTTGCACATTTTAAATTTCATAACAATAATTAAGGTTTAAATTATAATCGATAACCTTACGTTGTATCCCTTATTTTTTTTTGTATGCTTTTTTGATGCAAAAGAAAGACGAGTACCTTGCCAACCTCTCCCAGCTGCATCCTGATGTGCCTATAAAGGAGTTAACACTTGACCCAGACGTGTCTCTCGGGATACTAATGGAACAGGTTGGGCAAAGGAAAGGTAAGGAAGTATGTAGCCCATAGGCTGGTCAAGTTTGAGAAGCCGGGTTTTCTTCTTCATCCAGCTCTACTCCATCGACCAAGATTGATTCCAGACTTCGGCAGGTAGAGATGGAGTTGGCGCACCAAAGAGAATTATTGCGCTTGTACTTCATTGTCGTATCCCAGTCCTTATCAACTTCTGGCATTAGGATTCCCAAGCCGCCGACCGAGCTTTGCAGCTATTCCAAGAGCCTTTGAACAGTCGTTTGAGGAGCCGCTCCAGCAATCACAAGACCCCCATCACAATAGTTACATTTTTTTTCTTTTTACTTTTTACTTTTTTTTGTAACATAATTGTACGAACAATTTTTTTTGGGTTGTAAATTATTATTCTCCATTTTTACAATATTTATTGTTTTTTAAATATTCGAATTTAATATTTTTTTATTGTAATAATTATTGTTTATTAAGTTGTAAAGTTAAATAAGTTATTTAATAGTTTTTTTTAATTTTTTTATTAATTTAATAATTATTTGCCCGATGGAGCTGTTGTTCTGCACAAGCTTTATTTTACCTAACGATAATGCCGGCGGTTTAAGCTCACCCGCATCATTTAGTTATGTCTTGGCTACGGGTCTGCTGTTGCCAACGAGGTTTGTTCCGTCAATTAAGATGTCTTCCATTGGGGCAATTGGTCAATGCACTCTTGCCTAACAACATATTTCGTCGGGTAAATATGTTATACCCGACGAACATGTTCCGTTTGACCAACTATTCTTTGCCGAGTTTCAGGCAATAAATCCTCCTTTTACCCGATAGAGATTTTTCGTCTTACAAAGTGTTTATTTATTTTTTTGTAGTGTCATAACTTTTGTAGCTAATTCGATCTTAATTAAATTATTTCATAAAAAATAAAACAATCATCGTCATCTTCATCAAACATGAAATACCAATCAAATCGAATCATGCGTACAAATTTATTCCAAAAAGAAGATAAAGGCGAAGGAAGGAGACAGTATATACACACACACATATACACATATACATATACATAATACATATACATATACATATATGTATATATTATTATTATTATTATCCATGGATTACAAACGATCATTTACTTGGGAATTTCGTCTTCTGTCAAAGCAAGGAGAACCATGCATAATTGACGTTAATTTTCATCGTTTGTAAAAGGTTGATCATCAGTAGCAGTAAAACTGTTGTTATTCGTGTTATAATCTTTATTTTCTACTTGTTCTGGTAGAGTTGATAAAACTTCATCATTTGAAGTGCTGGATCCATTCTGCTCCTCATCCGTCACGGCATATTTTTCGGGTGATTCATTGATTTGCCCACCACTGCCTGTACTAAGACCCGGCCTTGTGTCTCCAGAAGCACATCTTCTAAACAAACGAAAAACAATGAAGATTAAAGTAAAAACAAAAGTAACGTTGCATATTAATATTTTCTATGATAATCAACTTAAAGTTCTTTAATTTTGTGATACAAGTAAATAATTCTTTTTTTTTTTGCAACTTATTTAATAAGGATATATAACACTTCCCTCATTTTTTGCACATTGTTTAGTCATCTATATGAATCAAAGAAATTAATGGTTTATCATGAAGATATGCTTGTAACAATAATCATCAATTTGTTCGACACAAACACACACACACACATATATATATATATACATACACATGGTCTCCGGATTGAATAATTTTTTTTTTAAAGTTAATGATTTAAAGAGTTGCAATTATTCTCATTGTATAGAACTACAAAAATTCATGTGGACATTTATTCTTGAGAAGTTACAAAAGTAGATCAACATATAATTATGAAGGGAGTTTTAACAAAATACTCCCGGTACTGTTCATTTTTAATGAAAACGACATTTTTACTCTAAAAAATCATTCTTGGTACTATTAACTTACAACACATTTTTGTCTTTCTGATTAAAACTCAATGTTTTCAAGCTCTTTTCGTTAGTTTTCTTATAATTAATTGGGTGAATGAAAATGTCAATCTATCTCAAGTCATATTTTATTGTAAATAACTAAAGTTAACTTATGTGGTTTTAAAGATATGTTGCGCCTTTTTAGTCAAAAGGGTATATGAGATTGACATAATACCTCACATTGTCTTTGAGATTAAAATTTGGTAGGAAGTGGTTCATGAGCTTGTCCACTGTCAATCATTTAGATCATTTTGTGAAAAATCTTAGTTTGATTGAGGTTATTTTTGTCTGATCAACCCCTTCACTTGCTTTTTCATTTATTGGAGATTTTTAGCGAAACGACCAAAATGATTCACGGTAAACAAACTCAGTGACCATTTTTATCGATTTTCAATGTTAAGGACCAAAGTAAGGAGTTTTGCTGATCTCAATAGTCATTTTGGCTAAAGAGCCAAGATATTCATGGCGCTTACTCAAAATAACAAGATATATTTGGGAAAACTTCAATCAAAATAAAAAAAAAATGTCCCTCTTATCACACTTTTCATATCATATTTGTACCATTTTTCTAATAAAGGTGTGATCCATTTGTATTGGTGAGTTCTACCTCTATTTGACAGGTGGTACAAATGTGGTATAAAAAATATTATGAAGTTTAGCATTACTCCGAAAGAAAAGATAGGGAGAATTAGTATATAGAAAGACCAATCAACTTACACGGTAATAATTTTCCATTGCATGGCCCTCAACATGGGTATTTGGAGCATGGTCTTTGAAATGAAGCCTCTAACAACAGCCATATATTTAGCAACTACAGATGATTCGTACGCACTTCTATTACTTTGGTCAAAAACTCAAAGTTTGCTGTTTTAATTTTTTGTTTGTGTCATCTCTTCATTGAGCCCACGGGAAGTTTTATAGCAGAGACGACTAATAAGACAACCATTATAAAAAGAATACAAATGTAGAAGTACCATATGCAAAGATAAATGAATAGTTAAAAAACGATCCACCGATCATATTCTTAAGTAAAAATGGAGTTGGTAAGTAAAAATAATAATTTATAAATGAATAATTAAATGTAGCAATACCTAAACCCTTATTAAGTTGTCATGTATACTGTGGTCCTGAATTTGTTTTCTCATTGATGACCAAGTCTTTATCTAAAACAAATGGAGTTGGTAGTTAATTATGTGCTCATTTGGAATTGTTTTCAAAATGATTGAAAACGTTTTTAGAAGAAATATTCTTGGAATCCAAAAGCACTTGAAGTACTCCTACAAAAAATACATAACTGGTGCTTCTTGTAGAAAGCACTTCCAGTGTTTTTTCATGATTCATTTGCATTTTACTAAAGATTGATTTCAAAAAGATTTTAATAAAAACTCCTTTCATATATTTTAAAAGTAATTTCAAATATGACATTTAACAAGAATTCAGTCTTCAGATAGCAAAGTTCACTTAATTGGTTTATTTTTATATATTTATGATTATGTCATGCAGACATGAATTGGCCATAGTGACTTGACTTTTTATTTCTTTATCTGCGTGTGTGAATTCATGATTGCATGTGTGTGTGACTTTGATTAGCCCTTCCCAAGTTTTTTAAGTCCCACAACAGTGACATCTTGTTGAAAAGTATCAGAATATTGCATGAATGATTCAGTCAATGGAAAAAAAATAAAGTATCACAATTAAGATGCATAAGCTTTTATATTTTCTATAGCTGGAGATGATAATTTATAGCTACTACGAACTGCAATAAAATAATTTGAGTCGTTAAATTTGTTCACCAGATAATTTTTCAAAGGGTTAACATCTTGACATGTATCCGCTTCTGTTTTACATCGACCAAGGTATAATTACGCTAAGAACGTCTAGGACTTTGAAACTAGCAAGCTAATAGGTTGTTTAGTATTAATCTGCAGATTATGTCATCGTAATTCTGAATTTATTGATCACTTATCTTTTAGTTGTGAGTTTGCACAATGCACTTGATTTTAGCTTGCTACTCAATTTGGCATTGTTCTTCCTTTTATTGTTAGTGTTTTCTCGAATTTCTGACTTGCTTTTGTGTTGCAGAGGTTTTTTTCACTACTTCACAATGTTTAGCCGGCTGTGGGAGTTTTCTTATTGTTGGATATTTAAAAATACGTACGTAACAATGTTGAAGTTTGAAAATAGGTCTCTTTCTATTGCTCCACACCTTTAAGCTTCTTCTATTGCTCCAGTTCTTTCACATCCTTCTTCGTATCCTTGGGGCTTGCTAAGGCTAACCCATGTCCTGCAACTTGTGGCTGGGTTTTTGGATATTGTACGAGTTATTTTTTTAGTGGTTTCTTCCATAGTTTGCATCGATTCATCCCTCAATATATAAGATTCTGCTATTATATTGAATTGAAAGGAAAAAAACTTAATATATATTTGTGAGACGCTAATTATGAAATACTTTTGGCTCCGCTATTGTATAAAGCACTTAAGAGCATCTTCAAATGAGATGTCAAATTTTAAACATAAAATTTGAATTTGACAGCCTATGTGACATTTTAACATCTTTTATAATTTTGCTCTCCATTTGATATGACAAATTAAATATTATTTTATTACACTATTTTCTTTTCTTTTTATTTTATTAAACTATTATTTTCTGGGTTTGGAGTACCCTGAAAGAAATGAACAAAACCGAAAGCTCAGTGAGCTTATAGTACCCACCGGCGGCGGACATGGAAGTGACGGAGGAGCAAGAATTCTGAGGGAAAGGCGACGTCAGCTGAGGAACCACACAAGGCGAGTTCGAGATCGTCGTGAATGTACGGCTTCCTTCGTCTTTCTTCAGCTCCGGATGCGCAGCTCCTTGGCCGTGCGGCTGGATCGAGGCTTCGATCTTCGTTCACCTTCGGATCCGCGCCATCGGCCACCACCAGTTCATGTTCGAGTAGGGGTTCCGGTCTAACTTCGGCCTCCGTCACTGGCTCGGGTTTATCTTCGGGCTCGGGTACCGGTTCCGGTTTAATTTCGGGTTTCGGATTTGTTGTCTGGTCTGGTTCAAGTCCGTTCTGGGCGGGGGGTTGTTCGGCGGTGGACATTGCGGGAGATCGGAGGAGGGATCGGAATTCGAAGAGTGATCCGACTGTGAAGTTACAGAGAGGTTGGGGAGAGAGTGGGGGAGAGACAGGCGCTCGGCGGCCATGGACGCCATTGAAGGAGGAGAGTTGCAGATAAAGAAATTAATAAAAAAATATTTGAAGTCAAATTTGACCATTCCACGTCAGATTTAATTTTTCGGTTGTAAAACATTACAGTCTATTTTTTTAACTGTTATTGCTGATTTAAATATTTTGACGCTCTAACAATATTGATTATTTACTATACATGTCTGAAAATAAAGCAGTTACAGCAACCAAATTACACTCACGAACACAAACACAAATGTCTAAGAAAGAGGGAGAGAAGACTTATTCCATCATGATTCATATAGAATCCACATCACACAGCTTATCTCTTAATTAAAAAGCGTAAATTTATCATTAGTCAACCGGTAGAGGCAGTCTCTTTTGTTGTAGCTTTTGCATCTCCGTTACTTTGCTTGCCATCGTTCTGATTACTCTTTGAGCTGCTGATTTCATCAGAAACATTCTGCTTTTTCAACGTCGTCGTCTCATTGATTTTCCCACCGGGGCCTTTGCTGATGTCTCGCCTGCTATCTTCACATCTATGATAAAATAAAAGTATTTAATCAAAATCCTAGAAACAAATATGAGTGTGCAGATGAGGAAAATGAGTGTGGTGAATCACTTTCCTTATCACAAAACCAAATGTTGATTTTAAAGGGTCCAAGTATACTTTCATTACCAAGGAAATATCAAATTAAATATATATATATATATATATATATATATATATATATGTTGTCCAATATACAAAAATGTAATACTAATCTTATGCATGCAAATTATAATGAAACCACCATACATTATTGAGAGACTAATATTCCTCCTGCTGGTATGCATACGGTCGTGATGCGTGATCTGCAGTCTGCACATATAGACTCCAATAAAATCATATAATTGGCAAAACAATCAACAAATTAACTAATGATTTCTATTTTTTTTTCAGATATATAAAGACAATTAAACAAAAAAAATTAAGTGCTTTAATTCTAAGAAGTTAATTCGATCACGTACATATTCCCGGGTCGATGCCGGTAGGACTCGCAAATGGGAATTTGGACGATGTTGGTTTTTGGCATGACGATGAAACGACGCACAATTAGAGCCATGATCTTTGTAATTTAGAGTGATCAGTTTACTAACTGCGCGTGGGTTTCTGAGTGAGACCAAAAGACTTAAGGTTTATATAGAGTGAGTATGCATGGCAACTTGTACTTTAATTAGAGCTTTTATTCTTCTTTATTTTCGTCCTTTTTGTCGTTTTATCCCCATAGGCTATAGTGACATAGGAGATAAATATAAAGGCTTGTATAGTCTGTCCATGATTGAGTTTGTTTGTTTGTTTGCTTTTTTTTTTTAACAGGATCAACTGGTTATTTTGTCATGGTAATTTATCATTATGAGAGTTGGAAAGACTTATACAGACATTTCAACTTTTTTCTGATCATCATTTTGTGATTCACCAATGCCAAGAATTAAACTCAAAATGTGCCATTCAAAATACAGATCTGAAACCGTCCACAACTACCAAGTTACCCGTAGTGGTTGTCTATGATTGACTTGGGTTATACGGATTCCTCCGTCAACGGTTTGTATAGTCATTCTTTATTTGTATTAGCTCTTCCTAAGTTCCTATTCGTCAAAGTCCTTGCACGCGTATTTTGAAATTGATCGGGTATCTGTTCGACCATGTATTACATTTAATTGACTCAAATAAAGAGTGAGTCAATATTGAAATTTTTTTTTTTAAAAAATGGTTATCAAATAAGGAACCGGATCCCCTCCAGACCGGATCATCTAGATAATTGAAATTTGATTCAACGACTACAATAATTATAACTTTTAGATGGTCTCCCTGTTTGTAGCCATTAGATTAAATTTCAATGATCCAGATAACACAGTCAGGAGGATCCCCACCCTATGCTCAGGAGGGGATCCGGTTCCATCAAATAATGATCAAATTCAACCAAACATGGACTTAGTGCTCAACGAAAGAGCGAGCCAGCCAATAAAAGCTATTAGAATACAGAAATCTGTCTTGGAACTCAATTTTCAATATAAGAAATAGTTTAACTTTTTAATGTGAGATATATTATTCACATCCTCACAGTAATGTTATTTTGGGACATAAATACGACATGAGAAATGAACAAGCACCAGTATTGATGACTAGCATTGGTACCATAATGAAAATTGAAAAGCACTACCCAAAAACTTATTTTATCAAATACTATTCAGTGTGATGGAGATAATTTGTCCAGATAATTGAGTTGATATTTAGCGAGTTATTGTTCTTGGCTTCGTCTAATATCTCGAACTTTCTTTCCAGTTTCTATAAATGAAAGTAAGACAGAAATGGTGCTTGACGTGCATGGGTGTCGACCAAATATTGACTCTGTCTCCCACTCGCTCTTTTATTAAAAAAAAAGAATAAAAATGTAGCAATATCACATTATTTGGACTCAGTCTTACACTGACTCTGGAAATAAAGGAATTTTTTTAACATTGCTATTGATTTTAGGAAACTTTAACGAAAAGCTTCAGGTATTGTTCATTTTAACGAAAAACCACATTTTTACACTAAAAAGTCAATTCTGGTACTATTCACTTTACCTTTTATTGTGTCCTTATCGTTAAAACTCAAAATTTTCAAACCCTTTTCATTAGTTTTCCTTTGATTTTAATCGTAGTAACTATCTTTAAAATTTGGTGAGATCAGGATGGACCAAACATTATTGTTGATAGCTCTCATCAAATAATAATCAGGATTTCCTCATTCATGTTGTTTAAGATACCTGCGGACTTGGCAGAATTGTGAAAGCCTACATACTCATCCATTTTGATTGGATAACAGATTGAATTCTTCACATTTGATTTGAATTCTGAATTCTTCACATTTGATTTGAGCAGCATGCAGCACGTGGTGATGATGATTGATTGGATTGTTGGTAGGCTGAATATAATCACATTTGTTTCAATTATCCAAATTGAGTTGGTTTGTGATTGGTTGGACTGGAGCAGCGTGGTTACGTAAAGTAATGAGATTGATGTCATGCATGAGTCCTAGAAAATTAGCCATGTTAATTTGGTGGTTATTTGTTGTGAGGACGTGAATGTAAGAGAGTCTCACATTGGTGAAAAAAGAAATTTTGAAAGGGCTTGTACAATGTTGGGCTTATTAAAGGTTTGGCTACTCCCTATATATATTGTTAATTGGTTTTATGGTGGAATTCTCCAACTTTCTCCATGATATCGAAGCAGGTTGGTTAACATGTGAAGCCCAACGGCCACACTTGCTTCACGTCACCAAATCCATGTTGTCCACGTGTTTCGCTTGAAAATTCGCCACACGTGAGGGGGCGTGTGAGGATGTGAAGGTAAAAGAGTCTCACATCGGTGAAAGGAGAAACCTTGTAAGGACTTATATATAAGAGGTTGTGCTACTCTCTGTATTGCCAATTAGTTTTATGGTGAAACGTCAACTTTCTTCATTGACTGGGTGATGGAGTTCAAATTTTGTCCCAATATTCTTGATGGTTAATGTTATCACATACTGGTCACTTATTACTACGGTCTAATGATATTCCTCTTCACTTGTAAGTGAGAGGTCTTATGTTCGATTCTCGCTAAAGGCGAATTTGAACCACATTATTGCTAGCCAATTGTGAGGCTAAGCCCACCCCTTCCCTCTTAATGTAGATATATCGTTTCAAAAAAAAAAATGTTGTCATACACACATATTTATTTCACATGCCCTTTTTAATTTTCGGCCATTAGATTGAATGAATGGAAGAAGATAAACGTCAAAAAATTAACAAAGGTGTGTGGAAGGTTAAAATGGGTGTGTAAACAGCACTGGCTAGGGGCTAAAGTCAGACTTTATCCCAATATTATGATTAGTGAAAATATCCAGTTCACGTGGAATTCGAATTAGTTATCAACCAAGGCATGCTTGTCCTATAAATATAAGTGGTTTTTTAACATAGAGACCCTTCAATTCAACTGTTGATGCACAAAACCGAAGGGGTCTTGGAACAACGTAAATCTGACCGTGAATCTGCAAGAAAGTAAAGAACACAAGAGGTATCGTGGTTCACCCCAATGTTTGGGCTACGTCCACACTGATGTTGATATTGTTTCACTCTGAATGGTGGATATACAAGAAGGCTAGAGGCCTCAACCTTGACCTCCTTAATGAGGAGAGTAAGGAGTTCTTTTATAGAATAAGGGCTTCTCACTTATTACATATTTGCCCCTTCATTTATTACATAATTACATTTGAGTCTCTCGAGTATTTATACGAGGTCTAAATACGGAGGCCCTAAGTATGGTACAAATAGTAGTCCCCCAAGTCTTCAGTCAAGAGAGTCTTTTGGCTGGAAACTTGAAATTCAGTCCATGTGTGGGCCGAAGTAACTAGATGTCGTCTAGAACTGATACTTGATATGAGGTGGTGTTCAATGTGAAATGATGCTAAACTAGAAATAGCACATGTTGCGAGGCTGCTCGGCTTCTGGCTTATGTTGCCTTGGTGGGCTCGGCTTGTGGCGTTGAAGGTGAGGGAGTCCCTTTTATAGAATAAAGGCTCGCTCCTCAATACATAAATGATGGGCTAGAGTTGATGCTCGCGGCGAGGCGGTTGCTCAGTAAGCGGCAATGCTCTCAAATGATGGTGAGGGGGTCACTTTTATAGAATAAGAGCTCGTTCCTCAATACATAAGTGATGGGTTAGAGTTGATGCTCGCAGCGAGGCGGTTGCTCAGCTGGCGCCGATGCTCTCTAATGATGGTGAGGGAGTCCCTTTTATAGAATAAGGGCTCGCTCCTCAATACATAAGTGATAGGCTATGAGTCTCTCTCTAATGAAGGTGAGGGAGTCCCTTTTATAAAATAAGGGTTCGCTCCTCAATACATGAATAATGGGTGCTCTCTAATGAAAGTGAGGGAGTCCCTTTTATAGAATAAGGGTTCGCTCCTTAGTACATAAATAGTGGGCTAAGTCCCCCAAGTATTTTTCATGAGGCCCAGTTCGGAAGCCCAATATATGGTACATATTGTAGTCCACAAAGTCTTCAGTCAATAGAGTCTGTTGGCTGGAGACTTCAAATTCAATCTATGTATGGGCCGAAGTGGAGGTTGTTCGAAGGCGGTCTTTGTATACCATGCACTGAAGCTTTGTAGGTGAAGCTTTGAAAATGAAGCTTTGAAGCTGGAGCTTTTGTAAATGAAGCTTTTGAAGTCGGAGCTTTGTAAATGAAGCTTTGAAGCTGGAGCTCTATAAATGAAGCTTTCGAAGCTAGAACTCTGTAAATGAAGCTTTCGAAGCTGGCTTTGTAAATGAAGCTTTGAAGCTGGAGCTCTATAAATGAAGCTTTCGAAGCTGGAACTCTGTAAATGAAGCTTTCGAAGCTGATTGACATGAATGATGCTCATGAATGTTTATGTTGATTGACATGAGTGATGCTCATGGATGTTGACATGAGTGATGCTCATGAATGTTGACATGAGTGATGTTCATGAATGTTTATATATGATTGACATGAGTGATGCTCGTGAATGTTTATGTATGATTGACATGAGTGATGCTCATGTATAATTTTGGAGTACTGGACGTACTTTTGATCACCTAGTTGGTGATAATAGCGGCAGACTGCCGAATAATTTTGGAGTACTGGATGTATTTTTGATCAGTTGGTTGGTTATAATAGCGGCAGGCTGCCGAATAATTTTGGAGTACTGGACGTACTTTTGATCACCTGGTTGGTGATAATAGAGGGTGAACCTTAAGTGGAGGGATGAAGGTTGGAGTTTGAAGCCATAGGGCTTGGCTCTTTTGGGCATATGGGCCTTCGCCCTCCACATAACATTCCAGCCCACTATTTTGGGCTTGCCGACATTTTGCCCTTTTTTTTTAACATCATGATTGATTCCAACCCAGATCTCCCTTTTTCTTTTTCTTTTTCTATTCTTTAGTAACATCATGATCTTTTTCTTTTTCTATTCTGTTCCTTTACCCTCATCTCCTTCCTCCTCCTTTTTCTTTTTCTATTATTTTCCTCCCTTTATTCATTGCTTTTGCTTTCTGCTTTTTCTCGGTTTTTCTGCTGAGAGTCATTGGGTTGAGATTCTGAGTTCGAGGGATCCGAGTCGGGAGCTGGCTGTGATCCTC